CAAGCCGCATTTGCGTAGCATGTTCTTGTGGCTGGCAGATTTTCTTCTTCGTGTTCACAGTGAAGAGGTCGTGATCACATGCCTTTGGGAAGCTACCTCATCGCGTTCGCGTATTGTGAACGTGATTGCGTTGTGAGTGACATGCCATGAGTGTTAGCCTTCACGTTCGCGGAGTGTTATCGTTTCCGCGTAGCTTTATGGCTTTAGTGCATCGCATTCACATCTCCCTTTTCGCATTCGCGTAGCACATCCTTGGAAGCTGATGATTTTCTTCTTCGCGATCGCATATGAATTTCTGCGATCGCGATGCATGTTACGTGTGCAGAAATATAAAGAACTCCATTTCGAGGTTTTGACCATTTTTATCATATCTTGAGTTGTAGACCTCAGATTTGAGCGATTTTTGAGGGGTTCTTCACGTGTTGGATTGGGAAAAGTGTTCTTTACCCGGATATAATTTTATTTCATGATTTTATCTTTATTTTTGTCATTAAATTAGTGGTTTGAGTTGGTGGAAAATGGGAATTTTGTGAAAACTTTCAAAAAATGTAAAATTATGATTTGGAGGATGAATTGATGTCGGAATTGGATAAATTTGGTATGGTTGGACCCGTATTAGAATGGGTATTCGAATTTTATGAATTTTATCGGGTTTTGAGGTGCGGGCCCGGGGTTGACTTTTTAGTTTTCATTAAAGACTAAAGCTTTATTATCTGGAAATGTTTCCTATGGTTTTTATTTATGATGTTAAGTTATTTTGGCTAGATTTGAGCCGTCCGTATGTTGTTTCACACGAGAAGGTTATTTTAGAGTATCGGTCTAGCTTTTTTGAGGTAAGTACGTGCATAACTTTGTGGGGGAACTACCCCTTAGGACTTGAGTTGTTTGTGCTATTTGTGTCATGTGAAAGCCGTGTACGCGAGGTGACAAGTATGCACTCGGGCTTATATGTGAAAATTGACTGGTCTAGACCCTTAGGCATCTTTTATGCACTTATTTGGAATTGTTAGCACATGTTATATCTCTTATTTGTCATGTCTACTATCATATATTTTATTTGAAATTGTCGTTACATATCACATTCTTTACTTTTCGAGTTTACTCTTATATGCTTTATTGGGAGTTGTTATCACTTTGTGTCATTATGTGATTTCTTTTATTGTGGAGCTACTCTTAGTTGAAATTGTCGTCACATGATAACCTTTTGTTGTCGGGTTGCTCTCATGCATTTAGACGTATTACTAGTTCATGTCATCTCTTTCACTATTAGCCTAATTCATACACTAGAGTCCGAAGTTTGCTATTCCATGGAAGTACTATTACTATCGAGGTTATCCTTAACAATTAATTGAAATTGAAGTTATCGAGAGTTATTAATCTATTCTAATCGAAGTTATGCTTAAAAAGGGGTGTTGTGCCTTGTTGAGTTACTTTTCCGTTCATTTTGTTGTTATTAAGATTCTATATATGATGTGTTGAGCTGCGGGCTATTTGTTGTGAAAATATTGACATTGTTGAATATTTGGAAAAGTTGTGGCCTACGGGCACTTATGATATGAGTTGATATGTTTTGTTGTTGTGATGATAACACATGTGATTTGTTGTGTGGTTTGATTATTGTTATGCGAAGTATAAGGGTGGCATTTCACCGTTGTGTTATGTGGAGTATAAGGGTGGTATTTCACCATTGTTGTTATGCAAGGCATAAGAGTGGCATCTCATTGTTGTTGAATGTACGGAGTGATAAGGTTGGCTATTGTGTTATTGTTCGAGAGGAGCGATAAGGGTGGCTATTATATGGAGTGATACATATGGCTATATGAGAGATAAGGGTGGCTAATGATAATGTCAGGGCGGAGTGATACGGGAGGCTATCAGAGAGATAAGGGTGCCAATGTCAGGGATGATGTGTGATGGTTGGAGACATTGTATTGGTGATTTTCGTGTGATGGTGTGCTTTCCCTTGTGTTTGTCATACACCTTGCATGACTTGCTTTGTTGGCTCGATGAGCTATTCGATGTCTTTGATATTACTTGTTGACTTGGACTGCAGTAGTACACTCGCACAAACATACATCGTAGCATACCACTTATACTAGCTCAGGAGTATGAAACTTGATATTTATCGATCATGCCCATGTATTATTGTATTATCTGTTTTCATGTTGATATTGAGCATGTGACCATGTCGGACGGATTATGATTGGGAGCATGTGACCATACCAGGGCAGATTGAGATTGTGAGCATGTGACCATGTCGGGCTGATTGTGATTGTGAGCCCGTGATCATAGCGGGCAGATTGTGATTGTGATCTTGTGACCATGCCGGGCGGATTGTGAATGCGAGCCTGTGACCAATACGGGCGGATTGATATTTTAGCATGTGAGTTATCCGTGCAGTTGTGATGTAAGATGTGGGCACGAGGTGCTGTGAGTATATGATGATGGGTTGAGACCCGTGACTTGTGACTATGAGATGAAGTACCACGGGGTGATTTCGTTGTGAAACTTGTGTTAGAACGACTTGATAATTTATTGTCCTTTGTGTTTCCTTATATGGTTTAAATGATACTTCACGGTGTTCTTATTGCTTTATGGTTTACATCACTTGTTGGTTCTTATTTCCATTTACAGATTTCCGCTTTCCGTTATTAGTTTTATACTCCTATATTGTACAAATTATTTTATCTAGTGAGTGTTTTGACTTGTATCTCGTTACTACTCCACCGAGGTTAGTCTTGATACTTACTGGGTACCGATCGTGGTGTACTCATACTACACTTCTGCACATTTTTGTGTAGATTCAGGTACTCCGGAGTCTGTTGATTGTTAGGTAGCGGATCAGATATTGCTGCGAAGACTTCAAGGTATACCCGCCCTCGCGTTCGCAGGCCTCGGAGTAACCTTCAGAAGTTATTTTTGTTTAGTTTATTTCTATTTTGGAACAATTGTACTTAGATATTTTCTAGTGAACTCAGTAGAGCTCATGACTTGTACTACCGGTTTTGGGATTGTTGGCTTGTATATAAATTTCTATTTCATATTTAATAGTTGTCGGTTGAATTTTGTCATTTATTTTAGTAGGCATTAGGCTTACCTACTCTTAAAGGCTAGGTGTCATCACAACATCCTACGAAGGAAAACTGGGGCCGTGACATAATCTTTGCCGATATGCAAGCTCTTTAATAGTAGTTCAAATTGCAGAAGAGGCACCTCTTTATTAACCCCTAGCAATTGCACCATAGTTTTTGTAAAGACCCGACCGGTCAATTTGCTTTCTAGATCCCCGTTCCTCTAATTAAGACTCTCTGTACGTGCCTTTACTATATGCGACTATTAGAAGATATATAGAAATCTCTTTTTCATACTATGTTAGCTGACATGAAGAGCAAAAGAACAGCTATGGACAATGATGCTTCATTATATAAAATACAACTTTTGATGCATTTGAATGTAGAATCTGGATGCATTATATGCTTGGATAAAGGAAGAGAGCCTCTTCAGAACAAAAAAAGAGTAGATTAATCGATGCTATTTTGCGATAGTGATTTCTATTCTATTCTATTGGCAATAATTCGCGAGACAAAAAAGAAACACATCTTATGTCAGTTAACTGATTATGTTTGTATATTCTATAATGAACTTAAGAATGTATAGCTTTTCAAATTTTCGTTTTAGTTAAACTCTTAAATCTTCAAGGGTCATATGTTCTAGTTGAAACAAAAAGGGAAGCATGATATATAGTTTGTGAAAATTAAAGTAATAAAATTATAAAAGCGAAATAAAATTAAGTTAAATATATTAATCGTGATGATTGAGAGCTTCTATCGGGCACATGTTTTTCCTTTATTAAGTAATTAGCTAAATAAGATCAATAATTGTCTTTTCAAAAATTTTATTACTTTTATTTAACTTTTATTTTATAACTAAAACATAGTTTTCAACATAAAATATATGAAATTCTCTTTAAATTTTGTATTCATTGACACATGATACAACTCGACGCGCTTACCTTAAGACTAGTTCACTTAAGACAAAAAAAGAAAAGAAAGATAAAGGGCCATTTGTGGACAAAAAAATTCGGTTCAAAATTAGCTGGGTTGGCCATTTTTTGGGGCAGCTATTAGAGTTTACCCATATTTTAAATTGTAATGACAAAGTAGTCACTGATCCGGTTAAATTAACGTATTTGCCCCCAATTAAATACGAAACAGAACTCCAGAAATTATTACTAGAATTCAAAACTTTGACAAGTGGAACCCAATAAAATATATTGGAAATCAAAAGTTTGCTATATTTTCAAACCTAGGAATGATTCGTGGTTTTCGAACCTTTACTAGTGCAAAATTCAGAAACAGTTCATGGTTTTTGAATTTTCAATATACTTCAGTAATTTCAAACCTTTACTTGTATAAAATTCAAAATTCATGAACGATTCTTAGTTTTGAACCTTTACTAGTGCAAAATCCAGGAAAATCCATGAACGATTCATAGTTTTTGAATTCACAGCATACTTCAATGATTTTAAACCTTTAGATACAAAATCCAGGATAAATTACTTGTTTTGAATCTTTAATAGTGCAAAATCCAGAAAAATCCAAAAACAATTCATGATTTTATAATTCACATACTTCAACAATTAAGAGCTACTATTTCAGGTCATTCAAACTCGAAGAATAATTCTATGATTTTAACTTATAAGTCTAGTAATCATTTCTTGAGTTGTTATGTATTTTAGATAGAAATATTTTTGTCCAGATTTGTATTTTCGCATTAGTAATGTGACTATTTTATCAAAACATTTTAAAATACGACTAAATTCTAACTTAAAAGTGGTATAGCGGGTTTAAGACACGAAGCCAGACCCGAATCCGTTCCGTTTGGCCCCATTTTCAAATCATAACGGAGCTTCTTCAATCACTCTCCTTCGCATGTGAAGAAGTTCCTCCAAATCCACTTGTAAGTTCCCTTTCTCTCCTCTTGCTATATTATTTATCAATTTCTGAAAAATTGTCTTAGGAGTAACACACACACACACACACACACACACACACACACACACACAAAAAGAGATTAAGGAATGATTAAGAAAAGATTCTTATCAAAACTTATACTCGGGTTCATTTACAATTGGAATTAAAGTAGTAATAGATTTCAGTCAATTATCTGCACTGCTAATACAATTTGTATTCAATAGCAGCAAAGTATGTGTCTGTCTTTAATTCAAGTAATTGGGTTTCCCTTTTATGGTTAATGGGTGCAAATTTTGGCTAAGTGGTGAAAAAAAGAATATATTTTTTTGATCACGGTGGTGTTCGGTCCAGCTTGCGGGCGCCAGAGGAGGGGTTCATTCTTTAAGGTTCTTAGCGTTGAACCTATTATATTGTTAAAGTTATGGATTCATACCTATTTATTTGTATTTTTAATGATTTTTTACATATAAATTTGTACTCTGCGTTGAAATTACTGGGTTCGGATGAACCCGCTACTAAAGGGCTGCATCTGCCTCTGGCATGCGCCTAGACTATTCTACCAAGGTTGTTATTGTTAAGAGACTTCATGTCCTTGTAGGGATATGTATGAGATCTAAAGAACCTCAAAAACATGTAGTTTGCCTTGAGCAAACCATTTTTCATGAGCTGTGCCTTAGTAATCAAATTGTTTAGTGTTCGAATGACATGGACCTAAACAGAGAGGAATAGATGTAGACTTTGTATAGCTGATCCAACTAATATGAGATCGAGGCATAGTTGATTGAAGGTTATATATTTCTTCCTTAATTTCAATTTACGTGGCACTATTGATTGATGCATTCTACTAATATTATTATTTTTAACAAATATTACAAGTCTCAGGAATTTAAATTCATTTAACTATTTAAAACTGAAAGATTTATATTTTTTGTCAAACTAGCTTTCACTTATTACTTTAACATTTTCTTCTGCTGATACATTTATAGTGCATGTGTCAAATTAACTAGTAAATTCGATGCTTAATTAAATGACCCCCAAAGTTTGGGTGGAGTAAAAACTAACGAGACAATTGGTTTTATGTCAAGCAGTGACATGTTAAATCCGAGATGCTTGGTTATGCGTGAGTTATATCTTAACAGATTATATTTTGATTGGGGTGCTTATTTTCTTGATTATGGGATACTCCATGTGTTTAGAAGTATGACAACTTTTGATGTGATATATGTATTTAGATTGATAGTAGAGCTAATGTATGTTCTGTTGAAAATGGGGTGCTTGTGGGATCTGTAATTGAGTAATGAGCTATCTCTAAGTGCAGCTCAACTGCTCAAGTATAGGTACCGTATAACTCTGCCTACCAGGCTTAGGCAGATAGTTGTACTGGGTACCTGCTACCTCCCTCTAGCATAGGTACTTGGTTAACTCTGCGTACTAGGCATAGACAGATCGGAAGAAATCACCTTTGTCTCCGCGAACTTGAGACCTCATGGTTCTCGTCCTACTTTATTGGAAAAAGAATAGTAGTATTTTTTTTTTAACCTCAAATTAAGAATGTGGCATGAATTTAATTAGATTTGAAAAACTCCTTAATTTTGATCAATATGTCCATTATGGTTTTTGAGTTTAGGTTAGTGTTTTAAAGAACATTGGAATTGACATCTCTGACAATTATTGTACTATTGCCTTTTGTTTACCAAGGTTGTTATTCTTAAAAGAGGCTTCGTGAGTTCATGTACTTGTAGGGATATGTATGAGATTTAAAGAACTTCCAAAACCTCTAGCTTGCTTTAAGAAAACTATTTTTTATGAGCTGTGCCTTAATAGCCGCATTGTTTAGCATCCAAATTACATCGGTGTAAACAGAGAGGACTAAGCCGATCCCACTAATATGAGATTGAGGCGTAATTGATTGATTGAAGGTTGTATATTACTCCCACAATTTCAATTTATGTAGCTGTCTTGTTACTATACTGATTTCATTAAGGAATAGTAGATTATTCTGATTGGATTTCGAACATCGTCCCCATGCCCAAGAGGGATGGACGTGTTCATGTATGCATCTATTTTTGAAATTTGAATAAAGGGCATTCTTGATCGATGCATTCTACTAAAATTATTATTTTAAACAAATATTACAAGTCTGAGGAATTTAAATTCATTTAACTGTATAAACTGAATGGGAGCCTTGGCGTAACTGGTAAAGTTGCTGCCATGTGACCAGAAGGTCACGGGTTCAAGCCGTGGAAACAGCCTCTTGGAGAAATGTTGGGTGAGGCTGAGTACAATAGACCCTTGCGGTTCGGCCCTTCCCTAGACTCCGCGCATAGCGGGAGCTTATTGCACCAGGCTGCCCCTTTTAACTGTATAAACTGAAAAAACTTATTTTCTATCAAACTAGTTTTCAATTATTAATTTAATATTTTCTTCCGCTGCTGCATTTGCAGTGCATGTCGATGCTTAATTAAATGACTCCCAAAGTTTGGTGGGGGGAAAACTAAAGAGGCAATTGGATTTTTAATTCAAGCAGTGACATGTTAAATTTGAGTATGGTTGAATTATACATGAGTTATATCTTAACAAATTATGTTATGATGAAGCGGGCGATAATTTTCTAGGTTATGAGATGTCCATTGGTTTAGAAGTATGGCAAGTTTTAATGTTATATTGTATTAGATAGATAGTTGAGTTAATGTATCTTCTTTTGAAAATGGGGTGCTTGTGGGATCCGTAATTGAGTAATGAGCTATCTCTCTGTGCAGCGCAACTGCTCAAGTATATCTTGTGTATTTATAATGAAAAGCTTTATTAATGGAGAGACAAAGAGGTTGTATAAAGAATAGAAGATCTTTATGATTAAGCAGGGAAATCAAGATTAACTGAATAAAATCAATGATTTTCTAACTGAATTTGTCATTTATGAAAAGACCTTTATCTTTGTGCCACCAAAAAAACCAGTCTATACGACACAATTTCTAGAAGCAAGATCAAGTTCAGTATATGAAGATCTATGAAGGGCCTCCTAGTCCTATCCGAAGTTGAAGCCTTATAATTTTTTTTTTCCCGATTAGTGAAGCCTTATCAGTTTGTAACATGGAGATGATAAATGGTTTGGGAGAACCAAGTTGTCACCAAATATGCCATGTAAATGTTGCCACAGATAATGTGTCAGGAGCATTGCGAGAACTAATGGTAGCAGATTTTCCATAATGCCTTGTTAGGCCTATACGTCAACAACATGTCTGTAATATCGAGTCTTTCATGAACGAGGGGACTATGCTAAAGATCTTACCAAGGGGCATTTAGTTTTCCAAAAAAGTAAAGCCAAAAGGGAAAGCTATAGACACTCAAGACCAAAAGGGGTTAGCTCAAATTTTTCCGGGAGTTTATCTATGGACATGAACCTAACAAATGGAAAGGCTGCAAGGTCTTCTGCCTCACTGTTAAGGTTCTTGAAGATGAAAATCCAAGGGGTTCTCCCCATCTATGAAGTACATAATTGGTGCTTGATGAACTCGAGAAAGCTCACGAGAACGTTGATAATGTTACCAAGAGAAGAAAATAATCTTCAGTACCATGAGTCCAGTTTATGAGAGTTCTCTCTTTATTTTGTTCTCATTTTATCATAAAAAGAAATGTTCCTTTGATCAAAGATTGATAAACATTAAGTTATATTGACTAATATCTTTTGCTGTTTTGCAGATATATTATCCCAATAATCCCGGTTTCTGAAAAATGAGTTCTAGTTCTTGGCCTCTTTTATTTGACTCCTTAAGGAGCTTAGTGGAAACTCTTGAGAAAGCTAATACTGCTGATGTTTCCGTGGTTGGAGCCATAAAACAATGTTCTGAGACTTCAAGGTCTGTTCTCTGTCCTTCCTGTGTTGTGTTCATCCTTTTCTCTCCATCTTTTCCTTCTTCCCTTAATCTTTACTTTTCAAACAAAAGACAATCAGTCTCGTCACGTATCAAATTTGGGATAGAGGAAGCACTTGCTTAGTATAACTTACAATTTTGTCTTGCCATTGTTACTTCCTATTTTTTCTTAGGGTTGCATAAACATTCACTTATTCATTAGAACAAATTCTGTTATTTCAAATCCACCACGTTGGAGATTTTGATTGTTGATGTTTCTGATTCTTGTATCTGCCATCTTCTATTTTCAGATGTCTTTTGGCTGCAAGTGAAAGAACAGGTTTGTTAGCTGAACACTTGCAGCTGCTAAATTTCCTCCTCAGAATTGTTTCCAGTCTTCATCCCGAGGCAAGTAATTTGTCAAAATCAAGAGGCAAGAAAAAAATATCTGGTTATAACAGTTCATGGGAAGTTGAAATAGTAGCTTTTACTATGATTGGTGAACTATATTCGAGATTTGCATCTTCTTTACCAGTTGATACTTGGCAATCAACAATTGAGGTGAGTATTCTACTTTAGACTGCTTTGTGTGCCTCCTAAAATTTGCTTATAGGTTTTTATTTGGGAGTTTGTGTTGTGAATTTAGATCCTTAGACATATTTTGGAAACGGTGGCATCTAAAGGCCATATTAAGGAAGATGGAGCCACTGCCAGGTATCCTCTTATTCCTTTGCTTTTTATTTTTTGTTTACTTTTGCGGTACCAGGTAGAGGGCTGGGTTGTTCATTCTTGCTTAGTATTTGCTTGTTTGTACTTTGTATATAATGTCTTGATTTTCTTATCAATGACATGGTGGCAGATCTTTTCTCCAGGTTTTATACCTCGCTTCTACATTGCCTGCACTTGGTTCTTACAGATGCCAAGGGATCGTTGTCTGGCCATGTAAGGACTGCATTATGTTGACGAGATTCTTGCTTTATTTTCTTCCCCCTTTCTTTGATAGATAAAGTCGATTTTTTTAATAGACTGCGACTTTCGAATTTGTAATCCATGTACTTCTATTTCTTAGGTGGCAGGTCTTGTTGTGGCTTTGAGGAATTTTATTCATTATGGCCTTACTAATAAATCACACGATATGTTTGCCATTGCTGATAAGAAGCAGATTACTTCTGTTAGCATGAAGCCAGATTTGGCAGAATCAACAAAATCACAAACGGGCCGATATAGGCCTCCACACTTACGAAATAAAAATCTGAAAAATTTTCAGTTGGAGGATGAGAAATCTCTAACACTATCATCTGATTCAGAAAACAGTGATAGTGATGGATCAGGGCGGGGTACTTGCAATACACCCTATGCTAAGACTAGATTAGCTGCGATCATCTGTATCCGGGTATTTCCGAACTAACTTCTTTCTTGCAATTTGCCTCATGGTCTCAATATCTTATATCCTCCTTGATCTTGTATGTACTGAACATCACATCAAATTCTAAAGTTGTCTTATTTGAGATGATTCTGAAAGGTTCTGCTCAAAAACCTTTATGGTTCTTGTTGTTGATAGTTGGGGTTTTGGAATTGTTTCAATTCCACTTAATTCGTGAAAGACTCCTTTTTTGCATATCCTACTTCTTGAACTGTATGATTTTTGTGAGATTTTGCTAACAAACAGAATGAAAGAGCATATATATTAATGATATTGGATAGTAATAAGGGAGGATATATGGCAGGTAAGCATTATCTGCATGATTTAGCTATTATGCTGCAATAAGAAAATGTACAAACAGTCAATTACAATGCGACAATGTTTTCGGTGCAAAGCAAGGACTTGTAGTATAGGTAGCTGTCAAATTTGTGAGATGCCAGTGGATGACCCGGTTTGAGTCATGCAAACAATTTTGTATATACTTCTGACACCAACTTGGTGTACAGTAATGAAATGTTTGACTTACTCCAAAAATTGAAAATCTACATGGATTGACAGCGCAAATTCTTCTAAATATTAACTTGTATAGATAGCTGGAAAATTAGAGAGATTCCAGTAGATCAATTGGTTTGAGTCGTATATACTTCCGATACCAACTTGGTATGTAGTAATGGAATGTTTGACTTACCAAAAACGCAAAAAAGAAAATGTACAGGTAATTTGACAGTGGAAATTGTATTCAGTTTCTTTTTTAATTTTTCATGCATATTCCATAATTATGCCTTTCTCTTATCCTCCTTGTTTCTTTCTTGGTGAACAAGTGCCAATATGCGCGACTGCCGTATTGCTGTTGGCCTGCTAATAAGCCTATCTTTGACAGTTATGATTTGTATATGTGCTTTTGTTTCATAAGAAGGGGAGTCTTGGAGCAACAGTAAAGTTGTCTCCGTGTGACCTATTGGTCACGAGTTCGAGCCGTGGAAGCAGCTACTGATGCTTGCATTAGGTTAGGCTGTCTACATCACACCCCTAGGGGTGCGGCCCTTCCTCGGACCTTGCGTGATTGCTAGATGTTTTCTGCACCAGGATGCCCTTTTTTTTTACTTTTGTTTCACAAGTTAGCCAATGCAATGGCTCAAGTGCTTCATTGGGACAGGGTGGTGGAGAGTAGGGTGCGGCGTAGTGTTACTATTTCCGAGAACCAGTTCGGATTTATGCCGGAACGGTCTACTACAGAAGCCATTCACCTTGTGAGGAAATTAGTGGAGCAATATAGGGAGAGGAAGAAGGGCTTGCATATTGTATTCATAGACCTAGAGAAGGCCAATGATAAAGTCCCGTAAGAGGTCCTATGGAGATATATGGAGGCTAGCGGTGTTCCAGTGGCGTACATTAGGGTGAGGACTGCAAGAGGAGACTCAGATAATTTCCCAGTGAAGATTGGGTTGCATCAGGGATCGACTCTTAGCCCTTTTTGTTTGCCTTAGCGTTAGAGTTGCTGACGCGACACATACAATGAGAGGTGCCATGGTGTATGCTATTCGCTGATGACATAGTCCTGATTGACGAGACGCGGGACGGAGTTAACGCTAGGTTGGAAGTTTGGAGACAGATGCTGGAGTCTAAGGGTTTCAAGTTGAGTAGGTCAAAAACTGAGAACTTGGAGTGCAAGTTGATGGGATGCATGAAGGAGTGAAAGTGAAGATTGGTACTCAAGTCGTCCCCAAAAGAGATAGTTTCAAGTATCTTAGGTCTATTATTTACAAGTAGGGTAACCGAAAGGGACTTACTAACAAGAGCATATTTTAGTTCAATCATATATTTCTGGTTTTTTAGTATTACTATTTTGAAGATTAATTTGTATAACCGAGATGAGTGCAATTAATTATTCAACTTGAGTAATAATATATATTTGTAATCGTGAGAGGCATTTATACATTTTTGAGAAATAAAAATTGAAGAATAATAATTCTACTATATATTAGAAATATTAAGTGAAGTCAGGATCCCAACACCTTTTTATCATATTTGTGAAAAACAAAATATTTTCTATTGCTCTATTCGTGCATTTTTAGTTAGTTAATTCACAACTCAACTCTTTCTGATTTTCTCAAATAGTAATTAAAACAAGAAACGTCTGTAGAATAGATAAACCAATCTCTGTGGGTTCGACATCTTTCTATACTATTATTTGACAGAGTATGAGTTAGAATTTTATATACGCTATCAAAAATTTGACGAGTGTCCAGCGTATATGAATTTTAAACTCGTACTCTGTCAAATTATAGTATAGAAAGATGTCGATCCCACAGAGATTAGTTTATCTATTCTACAAATGGTTCTTGTTTTAATTACTATTTGAGAGAATCCGAAAAGTTGAGTAGAGAGTTAACTAGCAAATAATGAACAAACAAACAGTAGAAAAAAAGTATTTTTGTTTTTTACAAATATGATAAAAGATGTTGGGATTTTGATTTCACTTAATATTTCTATTATATAGTAGAATTATTATTCTTCACTTTCTATTTCTCAAAAATGTATAAATACCTCTCACGATTACAAATATATATATTACTCAAGTTGAATAATTAATTGCACTTCTCTCGGTTATACAAATTAATCTTCAAAATAGTAATATTAAAGAACCAGAAATATATGATTGAACTAAAACATGCTCTTGTTAGTAAGTCCCTTTCGGTTACCCTACTATTTATAACTGATTATTACACTATTCGTCTCTCTCGATTACAAATAAGTGTAAAATTAGTTATAACATAAAAGAGATAGATGTTAGTGAATAAATATTAACATCTATCAATACTACAATTAACTATATTATTTCTTCCGCCTCTCTCGATTACAGAATTAATAAACATTTAATATTTAGTATGAGATAGATAGATGTTAATAAATCAAATAATGTAACTGTAAAAGCAGATAAAATTTAAATAAAATTTTTTAGCTCAATCATGTGAATTTGAGGAATAATATCTACTATTATATAGAAATATTAAGATCCGTCTATCTCCCAACACAAGAAAAGTTACTCCATACCGGAATTAGTACTACAACAACAACAACAACCACCAGTATAATCCCACAAGTGGGGTCTGGGGAGGGTAGGATGTACGCAACCTTACCCCTACCCTGGAAGGGCAGAGAGACTGTTTCCGATAGACCCTCGGCTAAAAAAGGTGAAAGAAGCCCTGATAGCAAGTAATAACAAGTAATAGCAAGACAAATAATTAGAAAACTAAATCGAAGATAGCAACAAAGAATATGAAAGAGGTACTGATAACAAGTAATAATACGACAATATATTTAGAAAACTAAATCCAAGGCAGCAAACGAGAATATGAACGAAGTACTGCTAGCAAACTACGGAATTACCAATGACAAGTAATAACGGAACAAGACATGCGAATATAGCAAACCAAGGAAAAAAGGGTACCGGACTAGCACTAATATTACCAAACTAGAGAAGACAAAGGGAAACGCACGACTACCTACTAACCTTCTACCCTAATCTTCAACCTTCACACCCTTCTATCTAGGGTCATGTCCTCGGTTAGCTCAAGCTGCGCCATGTCCCGCCTGATCACCTCTTCCCAAGACTTCTTTGGCCTACCTCTACCCCTCCTCTCACCTCCCAAGACCAACCTCTCACATCTCCTGACTAGGGCATCTGTGCTCCTCCTCTTTTTTTTTTGATAAGGTAAATTGTATTAATCAAAAGGGAGAGAACTCCCGTATACATGAAGTATACCAAAGACGTAGAGAATTTACATCAGAACATGATTCTCTACAAAAAACGCCCAATCTTCTATACAAGTAGGGGCTAAATGAGTGCACCAAAAAGCAATCAAAGATAAAAGACTATTCTTAAGATGTGAAAAAGGAGACTCAATCTCCTCAAAAG